ATATCAAATTCCGCCATTGCAGCCAATCTCTTCGTTGCAATGCTTTCCAGGAGACATGATGCAAATCGATTTTGTTGGACCAATGAAGTCCCCAGTGTACAAATTTGTTTTAACTGGAATCGATGTCTTCTCCAAGTACTTGTTTGCAGCACCATTGACGAACGCTAGCGCTGATACAGTTGCAAGGGAACTCACGAAGATTTTTTTCATGCACAGCTACTTACCGAAAAAGATAATCGCAGATCTCGGAACGACTTTCACGTCGGAGCTCATGCATGAATTGACAACTCTGTTAGAAGTCCAAATCAACCATGCAACGCTGAAACATCCACAATCAATTGGTCTTGTCGAGCGATCTCATGGACCTCTAAAAAGGATCCTGAAGCTGAATACTAATGAACAATGGTCAGACTGGCACAAGTATGTCCCATTGGCAACATTTATTCACAATACGTCATACTCTTCATCAATTGGATGCTGCCCAAGCTCAATTTTCCATGGAAGAGAACCGACAAAACCACTTGATCTTCGCTTTTCGACGAAAGCAATGGAAGAAGTAACAGCAGAATCAGACTTCGTCACGGCAATGCAAGATGCGATGCTAGAAAAGTTCAAAGAAACAAAAAAGAACTTGATTTCTTCGTACCGCAAGTACCGAGGATATTACGATCAAAAAGCACTTGCCCAGCCACTGAAACAGCATTCATTTTGTTTATTACTAAATCCTCTGTTGACAACTCAATCAGATTTTGGAAGCAAATCAATGCAAGTCTGGATACCATTGTACAGAGTTGAAAAAGTATTGACAAATTTAAACTACATCATTTGCAAAATGGGAACCAATTACACCCAATGCGTACACCGGATTCGTCTCAGACCTGTTGTTCCACAGCATCAACCAGAAGATCTCGAAATCATTGATCCGAGCAAATTTGAAACGGATCCCTCACTTGGTAAATATCGAAGTGAACCAGGACTCTTCGACGATTCTTTACCCCAACTCTTAGACGACATCCAACCCGCGAACGGGGGACAAAGCAACCTTCCCGATGCACCTGCTCGAATCCGACTGTCAGTACCTCTTCGAGGACCCGCAGTAGCCCCAATCGCCCCTGCACCAGTCCCAATACCCGCAGCAGCGCCAATAGTTGCACCATTACCTCTGGTACCGCTACCAATAGCAGCACCGCCGCCACCAGCACTTCCACCGGACCCAGATCCAGAACCATTAGCTCCACCTGAGTTTGAATACAACGATGGATTACTTAACGACGAACCAATGAACGAGGCAGCGGTTACAATGCCTACTACAGTTAATCTCGAAAACGATGGACAAAACATGGCCCAAGAAACATCGCGAACGAAGCGGAAAGCAGCAGTCGAAGCGCGAGACAAAATATTTTGCCAAACGCGCTTCAGCAACGATGTGAGATACCACCCAATACCACCACGCGAATTGCAACCGCATAAACTCCGCCTACGAACAGTAGATGGACACGAAGTGGCTCCAGTTACATTCAGTCCACGATCAGCGAAGAATGACAATAAAGCAAATATACGAAAGAAAGCGGAGGAGGCTAATGAAGACTTTCCTCCACGAGAGGCGAAAAGGAATATTATTAAGGACAGCGTGAAGCGAGCGAAACAATTGACCAAACGAAAAGATGGACCAGGCAGTAGCAAAGATTCGGTAAATGCAATCTATGAGCCAAATATCTTTGTTGGAAAAGGTGATGTTTTACAGTTCCCTGGCTCTATAGCTCACTGCGTCTCAAGTGACTTTCAAATGGCAAAAGGAGTAGCAAAGCAGATCAACAGCGCATACCCATGTATCAGACCAACCCTTAAAAGCATTGAAACACCGATAGTTGGATCATCAGTTTCAGTTTCTCTGCCTTGGTAAAATAAGTCAATCTTCAATTTAGTCACTAAACCACGATTCTTTAACAAGCCAACCTACCACGATTAGTCAAGAAGCCTCAACTGCATGAAGCAACAGCTATTGACAGAAAGGAATAAACGCGATAGCCATGCCAAAAATTGGATGTGGACTCGATAAATTGAAAGAAAGTAGAGTTTTCAGCCTAATTTGCGACATTTTCGAAAAAACGAACATCAAAATCTTTATTTAGCTATGACGAAAAATCCGGATATCAGCTAGTACCGTTCATGCATGCATTCAAGACATTTGCCACTGCAGCCCACGTTGAAGTCGATCACCAATAAGGAGCATACAGAAGCCCGGCGGAGGAGGAAATGTATACAAGCTGAGATCTCGAAATTCAGCCTCCACCCCCATGTATTAACATCATGAATAAAATACTTTTGGGACCCCCGGCAACACAGAAGTGTCAGATCAAAAATTCCACCACCGATGACACCCATAGCACCAATGAGGAACCTGTACGAAGTGGGTCCACTAGGAGGCAACATCTTCATGAAGATCTCGAAAAATCCACCTGTTGCCCACGTATTAACATTAGGAATAAAAAACTTTTAGTGCCCCCACCAAAGTTGTGAGTGGATTTTGAAAATATTGACGCCATTCATCACCAGTGCCCAAATGAGGAACCTGTACGAAGTGGGTCCACTAGGAGGCAACATCTTCATGAAGATCTCGAAAAATCCACCTGTTGCCCACGTATTAACATCAGGAATAAAAAACTTTTAGTGCCCCCACCAAAGTTGTGAGTGGATTTTGAAAATTTTGACGCCATTCATCACCAGTGCCCAAATGAGGAACCTGTACGAAGTGGGTCCACTAGGAGGCAACATCTTCATGAAGATCTCGAAAAATCCACCTGTTGCCCACGTATTAACATTAGGAATAAAAAACTTTTAGTGCCCCCACCAAACATGTGGACGAATTTTGAAAATTTTGGCGCGATTGATCTCCAGAACCCTAATAAGGAGCCTGCTGGAAGCTGGTCCACTAGGAGAAAACAACTTCGCGAGATCTCGAAAAATCCACCTGTTGCCCATGTTTAAGCATTACGAATAAAAAAGTTTTTCGCCCCCCATCAACGAGTCGAAGGAAATTCAAAATTTTTGGGCGCATTGATCTTCAAATTACCAATGACGAACAGGCACGAAATTGGTCCACTAGCAGACCAAAATTTGGTGCCATACATCAATTCTCAACATTCCCATGTATTAGTATAGGAAAAACAAGAAAAATAACTTTTGAGGGATATCTTTGCAGAAATGCGGAAAGAAAACACTCAAATGTGCCAGCAAAGATCCAACGGAATTATTAGGACAACCTTGAAAGGTTACAAGCAATGCTGGAAAACAACACGCGAATTTTAAAAGCTAATTAGAACATCAAAAATATCAACAAATTTGATGAATAACTGAAATTCATCAATTTTAACTCTTACTGACGCCAAATTTTGCTCAGGCGAACCAGCAAATAGACTGAATAGCCTATAGGAGTGAAGTGCAGCTGCAGTATAAGAAACGAATGGAAAACACAAAAACCAGACACTACACAAAAGATGATGATCGCTACCAATGCAAAAACATCGTTGAACAAGTGGAACTCGGACTTAACGAAAAAAAAAAAGATCACCTTCTTTCAGGGAGTAAGCCAACAAAGGCACAAAACGCCCATACGAAGAAGACAAGAAGACTTCTGAAAAATAGAAAACGAACAGAAGAGGACAATTCAACTTATTAGCAAGTACAACAAGGTACAAACTGCTTCGCTAGTTGAAAAATTTCAAAAACAAATCGTGAATAAATCAACAAAACATATCACTGTTAAGCTGTTGATAATCAATTCACAATCTATGAGGCAACGATTAGAATCACACCGCCTCATTTCAAAAAGACTTCAGCATCAAACGAGCAAAAAGAATGACATGCAACAACGAACGAAAACAGCGATACCAGAATTTGAAACGAAACGACGATCAAAACTAGTCAGCTACTCACACGACAGTTCTTGCCGTGTAAATTTAGTTATAGTTGACAACTGAATAAATCATTGTATCATTTATCTGACCTGATCATCTATCTCCTAAACTTCCAAACCCCCGACTCAAGGTGGCTTAAAAATCTCCCATTTAATTTAAAAATAATTTATCTTCTCTCATTTTAAAAATTGAAGTAATAACCTGTGCTTCTAATACTATGAGTATATTAAATTATTGTGATATAAGTTTTGATAGATCCTTATCTTATTGATAAATGTACATATTCTAAATCAAAAGTAGTCTTAAATTATTATGTGAATTATTGTAAATGTATCTGATGAAACACTTCAACCACCCGGGAAGACTTCTTCTTGAGAGGTTGTGTGACATCCCTTCATGATGTCATTCATTCTATATTAGCCATTCTAACTTAATAGATTACATAATTCACCTTGATGTTAAAATAGAGCTGCATCATATATTTACTTAACTATGTAAACATTGATGGTAATTAAGACCAATCATTGGAGATTTATACCGGGCTACTAATCAATTGGGTAGACTTGAAGAGAATAAAATATTAGAATCATGCTCTAACTTGCGCCGATCGACTAGCGATATTCCAGAAGTTAAGAACCGAATCCTGCGTCCTTAAAAGCAAGATAAGTCTTAACCGCTCGAGACATATAAATTATGGAAACAATCAATAACAATTGATAGCCAGTAGCGCTAATTAATATTCGAACAGCTTACAACATTATCAATAAATGACGATATAGCTGTCCACAGCCATCCGAAGGGACACTATATCACATCGACCAATTTTTTTTGAAAATGCTTTCGAGAAAATCCTAGATCCACCCCTGGTTGCGACTGTATCAGATTTAGATGCTTATAATTTTTCATAATTAATAATTTTCAGCTGTATTTATAAATCTTTTAGAGTAGATTTTGTTTGGTTGTTTCCTATAAATCTTCAGACGCCTGTCAAGCTTTGTTTGTAGCTATAGGTTTATTGTAGCGAAAGGTTTGTTATTATCTTTTAATTGGATCTTTTTTGTTGAATATTGTTCACTTTCACAGGTGCACGTAGCTCTTCTTCCAAACACCTCCCACAGTGGAAGAACATCAGTGTGACCTGTGAGAAACTGCTCTCACTCCTCAATGCCTCCCACAGTGCAGAAGCGAGACTGTCCTCCCTCCTCTGTCTCAAGGAGATCCTTCTCCTCTACCCCTCTGAAGCATCACAAGTGCTGGTTGACCTCATGTTCACGGCACACTCCAGTTGCACGAGGAAGAAGTGCACCTCGCTAGGTACGCTTGTTGTTGGCAATTGTAAAAAAGTATTCTGTTCTACTGCTTCCTTACATTAAGGACCGGCGCTGCCGTTTATACTTCTGAGCTAAGATGAATTTTGATATTAAATGGTATATTTTGGAATCATGGAGCAGAAGAAATGTAATTATCTTTAAATTAGATGGTCCCTGAAACTTTTAACTGTCAAAATTAGTCTCTTGTTTCAACACTGTGTCTTCAATAGTTGTACCGAGTGAGATACAGTTTTCAATGACTTGAAAGAATTTATTTTGCAGTTCCTGGACCCTTCTACCCACGTCTGAGCAGTGCCTCGACCTCGGGATCAGACCACCAATCACCCCCCTCTACTTCAACAGCTGTAGGCGTTGGCTCCAGACCAACCCAGCTGGCGAGCGGATCTGGAATCGTGGGATTCAATCCAGTGGCCACTACGCCCACGCTGGCAAACAGACGCTTTGAGTTGTCCATGTGTGTCCATAGAGAGCACTTCAGTCGCCAAATTGTAAGTATCATCTGAGATTTTTGCTCAGCTGTTATAATTCTTGTTCCAGATTAGTTCAATGAGAAAAATTTTGGATAGAGGCGGATCTAGGGTTTTCTCGAGGCGGGAGGGGGGGGGGATTTTCTCGACCAAATTGATTTTTGGAGCGCGCTCAGAACAGTATGAAGACCCTATTTTGTCCGAAAAAAAAACTTTTTGAATTTTGAAAAAAAAACAAGTCAAAAATGCTATTTTTGGGCATTTTGGAAAAGTTTGATTGGGTTTTTTCGACGCGCGCTTTCCAAAATTAATTATATTGGCGCCCTAAAAAAACTTAGTGTTTGTTCGGCCTAAAAAGGATGTCATAAAATCAGTAGCGGATTTAGGGGGGGGGGGGGAGTGGACGCCCCCCATCCCTCAGGTGTTCAACCCTCTGCCGACCCAAAGGGTCCCCCTTTGTACTATTTTGAGATATCCATTGTTGGCTGGCTGACCTTAAACTTTTTCTAAAGGCGCTTTTGGCGCCAATATATACTAATTTTGAGGGGGAGCGCGCGCCGAAAAAACGCGTTGTTTGGGAGAGCTCAGAAAATCAATTTGGTCGACCTGAAAATCCGCCCCCTCGAAGTTCCTACGCCTGCATAAAATAATACCTTATGGGGAACCGTTTTGTTGGTGAAGGGGTCGAATCCGTGAGAAAAGGCGACCCTCTTCCCTCCTAAATCCGCCCTGTGAAAATTTTGATTCTGCTGATGAAAAAATACATAAGATGAATTTTTAAACGTATCTATTCAAATAGTTGTCATTCTTGTTTTAGGGAGAAGACAAAAGTTATGACTGTGAGCTGCGTCAGTTCTTTTCGCCCTATCATGTACATCTTGCTCAGCCGCTGATATCCACAGCCACTCAGCAAAATATCACCAGTTCCAAACTGACCGATCTCAGTTAGTATAATTGGTGTGCTTCATTAAATTAGTTAGAGTAGGATTTATCCGCTAGGTCAAAAGCAATTGATTTATCATCATCGTTACTAGATATCGGCGTAGGTAAGATATTGTCATTACTAAGTGAAAATGAACGAAGTGATGACGCTTTTTTAAGTCGTGGTGATGACACTGTCTAAGAGTCGATGAACGTAGCGAAGCCTCTTATATAGGTCGTGATGATTTTTTTCAGGAAAAGTCATAAAGTTTGTTCAGGCTCAAATTTACTTTTTCGCGGTTTGACTTTTGATTTGTATAGTTCATTTACTTTGTTAAAAGGAAGGCAAAATCCAATAATTGAACAGCAAAAGCGCAAAGGTCACAAAAAAGTGAGCAACTTTAGTTTGGAAAGTGGATTTTAGTTTTAATTAAATAAAAATTTTCAAACTAATAATCCAGTGATCTCAATTTGGGAAAATTTCATCAAAAAAGTGTCAATAATATATTGTTTTAGAAATTCAAAGAGCTTTAAGGCCAAATTTGAGGTTTTTTTAAGACAGTATATTTTCTGTTTACTTCCGCTCATTGACTCTTTTCCAACTGTCTGTTGGCTATGAATTGTTCAACATAATAGCTGATCAAATTTCTTTATTTTTTTTTTCTTATCCGGTAAATTTATACTTCTCGCCGAGCGTTTTTTGAAGGGGGCAGTTTTTGCAGCACATAGGCGTTGTCATTAGCGCTGATAGCGTGAAATTGGTTTACCGGTAACCCAATATTGAAAGTAAAAGTATAAGTATACACATAGTATACACATATTGATCAAAGTTTAAATTACCGATGAATGTAAGCGTGTCTTTGACTAATTACAACCGAAATCGTATCACAAAAAAGTTGAAATGGTTTCGGGTTTACTATTGTTTTGTTTAAAATTTTGGCAGTATCAGTGGCCTCCGTTCAGAAGAACGATTAATCAGCCCTTCTGGTGTGAGATGTGCGAAACAAAACAAGCAAAATCGTCGAAACAACATCAAATCGGAAACAAGGAGAGCCGGTTCCTCTGCAACTGGCACAGAATGTTCCGACCATAGTCTGAAAAAACAACGTTTTTTTTCAAATTAATGCCGTATTTTCGGCGTGGTGTGATTAAAGGAGCTGAACAAAAACTGAAGATTAGGTATATTTGACAGTTATGGTAAAATAAGCAAATTGAAAAACGCAGATTTTTTTTGCAGTTTTTCGATTTTTTGAAAATTTTGATTCCATAAAGGCGCTAAGACTGCTCGCTCGCCAAAAAGGCGCTAAGACTGCTGATTCCAAACAAACAAGACTGCTCGCTCGCTTTATTCGCTCGAAATAAGACAAAAAATCAAACATTTCAAACCGGTTTTTCTCGACACTGGAAAAAAAAATTTTTTATGTGGTGTGAATCACGACTGTAAGGAATTTAACATGATATATTACTCAACCCAGTCAGATGATTATTTGTGGTACCTGATTTTGCGTGGAAAATCGAAAAAAGTAAACACCGGAATACAAAGTTTCTCCCCATTTTCAATGGTCGGAACAATAACAACATCACATATATCGAAACAAAATCAAACCAGAACCCTTAAAAGTTTGATAAATTTATCGCTATGAGTTTTTAGACGCAAAACTTGTGATCCCAAAATTTATGAGGTGGCTTTTTGGTTTTAGTGGCAATATTAAGTTACCTCCATATGCCTGCATTAGCTATCCATCGTTAAAAACTGTTATGTCATTCAACTGAAATGTGAGGTCACTGTTAGAGGAACCGACTACGGTAAAATGAATGACATCGATCCTCCCTACTAGTAGGAAAGCAAGCTCAAGATAGTGAGGAGGAAATAGAACCGAGGGCAAATTAAAAATCTAATTTGTCTGCTTTTAAGTTTGTCTGCTGAGTCTGGACGCCCTGCACCTCAAACTGGACTGGTTCGCCCGCACGATGCTGGACCTGTACCACAGCAACACACAATACCTCCAATCCCTATCCACTTCACCACATCTGGCTCTTATCTTCACTCGTATTCTGGCTGATGACCACTTGAGAAGTGTCTTGAATTCACCAACTGTCTTCTCCTTCTGCACCTCATTTTTACCCAAGGTATAAAAGACATATCTAACGAAAGTTCTAAAATGAAACTTGACACCCATATTGGAAAATAAACCCGATTTGCGCATCTGATTTGATATAATAAAAAATCTCGGCTGATACTGTGTTCAATTCACGTTGATTGTTTGTGTTGATCCTTTTGTTTTTGATCACCCAAGTTAAATTCGATGGTCAATTTACTCTGCTCGTTTCAGGCAACTGCGTTGACACTAGACGATAAACTGAGTCATATAGTGCAGTTGACTTCGCTTATGGTAGATCAGTCATATCATAAGCGTGTAAGTAATGTACTGATTGAGGGGAGATCGGAGCAATCGGTGCAAATGGACGGCGATGGGAACGAAGAAAGGAGGAATAAAGATCCCGAAGAGTTTATTCTGGTCATCATTCAGGTATACTATATAGTTCATAATAGCAATATAGCCAAAAAAAGTCTGACGCAGTGTCAAAACAATGAGTTACTAAAACTGTTTGGATTAAGGGCAAAAGCAATGAAAGGCAAAACGGATTTTTATGCAACAGTTGGTTTTCTAAATTAGCTGAATCACAGAAGTTAAGACTTTTTCCATTTTTTCTCTAAAACTAATTTTCCATGATAATTTTTGTCGGATTTTAATGAGGCTAGATACATTTTTTCGCCGATGTGATAGTTTTTTTCTCCATCATAGCTGGACTAGTTGTTCATTATTCGCTGGAGGATGCAGTTGTTGAAAACATATCGATCATTTTCCGTTATACTTTTAGCATGCATCTGATATTACTCATGACCAGGGTCGGATCTAGGATTTTCTCGAGGGGGTGGGGGCGGATTTTCAAAAAAGTTTCGAAAGTTTTGTCGAAAATTTTTTTTAGTTCGACCAAATTGATTTTCCGAGCTCTCTCAAAACAATAAAAAGACCTTTTTTTTCTGCCAAATTTATTCCAGTTTCTACGCCGCAGGCAAAATTTTGAAAAAACAGCCCAAAAAGGCGTTTTTAAACGATCTGTGGAAAATTTTGACCAAAAAACCGCGTTTTTTCGGCGCGCACTAACACCTCAAAATTAGAATTAGGAGACGGATGACTTTGTGAACGCTTCCATATTAACGAAAACTTGTTACGGGTATTACGGGAACTTAAATTGTCAGCATATTGGATTTTTAACATGATTGTTTCAGAATCTGAAGGCACTGCAGCTGTTGTTTGCATGTACAACCTGTGCCAAGATACCAAGTCAGCTGTCTGAGTTGAAACTGTCGTTAGAGTCTCTTCGAGAGGAAAGCGAGAAACTGAAAAGTAAGTTCCTCAAACATAAATGAATAATTTAAGCCTACTAAGCACTACTGGATTGTCGGGAACCCCGCAATCCAAATTGACCTCACCATCTCAAATTTTGACCACTCCAATATTTTGGGGAGGGAGACGTGAATGGAACCCACCCGGAAATTTCATACCATTAAATTTTTACCCAAAGTTTTCGAAAAATATGCCATTTTCGAGAGCTCCAAATAAAGAAACTGTTTTTTCTTCTATGCAAAATAATTTTCGCCTGGATTTATGCCAATTTTAATGTTCAAGAAAATTTTTGGCGGCTCAGTTTTACCATTTTGTTTGTCAGAATTGATTCAAAGTCGCGGCACCATCCTGATAATTTAGAACCCCCTCACAATGAAAATGTCAAACCCTCCAGTAAATTTCGACCCAGCGAATTACGTACTGCAGAGTAATGATGCTTCAGCCTTACTGTGATAATTTTGTGCTGCGGAAATGAATGGTAGCAAATCTACAAAGTTTTTGTTGACATTGACATTGTTTTGTTTTTAAGAGGCAAGGAACGTAGAGAAGAGTCTTATTTAGGTCGTGATAAATTTATTTTTTTTTTCGGGAAAAGTCTAAAAGTTAGTTACGCTCAAATTTGATTTTTTTTTTGCAGGTTGAGTTTTGATTCATTTTAAGCTTTGTTCGTTTTTCTTGTTAAAAGGAAGGCATGCTTCACAATCGAATAGCAAGAGTGTACGGTAACAAAAACATGATCGACTTCTAATTTGAAATGCAAGTTTTATTTTCAGATTTTCTAGCGGAATTAAAACGTTACCTATTGATCCATTTTCTCTAATTAGGTGAATTTATCAAAAATTGTCAATCATAAATTGTTCTTGAAATTCAAAGAGCTTCAAGGGCATTTATTTTTTTCGTTGAGGTTTGAAGGTTCTAGTTTTTTCAAAGAAACAATCAGTTTTTTTTCTGTTTTCGTGCTTCCATTGACTCTTTCCCAACTGTCTCTTGGCTCTTTTCATATACGCGCATCGTACGCGAAGCTTGATGGTATACTGTGTAGCCGGGAAAGACTTCAGGTTACCCTGTTGTTTTTTTTCGTTTTTACGCAAGCAATTGGTTGTGTTATTTTGGGAGTTCTTTTTTCCATTGAAAGTTGCTGGTTTTTGAGATCATTAACTCTGTTCAGTACATCCTTTAAAAATGGCTTCGTATCTAGAGGCTTATTTTTGGGAAATTTCGGGCCTGAAACTGGTAGTTGTATGATAAACGTGCCTCTTACCAATTTTCAATTAACGTGTAGCGTAGTCGTTGAACTAATCCGGCTCAGAAGTTTTTACAAATTGAATTGAGGCAAGCTATTTGGTCTTTTTCATATCTCTTTGTACTTTACATGGCGAGTTGATGGGCGCGTAGGTATTGGCTTAATATTTTAAGTGCACTGAACGAGTTTGAGCTCAAATATATAATTTCTTTTGTTAATTTATTTTTAAAATCTTCTCAAATGCATTTGTTAAATGGAAGGAAAATACGCTCTCCAATTTTGAAGTTGCAATTGGCGCACAAAATAGCCTGATTGATTTTTAGTTTCAAAAGTAAATTATAATCATAGGCTTACCTTGGGAAAACAGTAACTTATTGATTGAGTTTTCTCAAATTTGTGTACTAGTTTTATCAAACAAGTATCAGTCTTGAAAACGCGTATTTGAAAAACGATCAAAAGAGTCAATCATTTTTTTTTATTTCCTTGAGATCTTTTTGACAATTTTCAATTGTCTGTTGGCAATGTTAGTTTTTTGAAACTTTTAATAAATCTTTTTCTTTTCAAAAGCTATTTTTATAAACCTTGAAGAGCAGTTCAGTGATTTGTAGTTCAGGAACATTCAGTGATTCATTAGAGTTTCTCTGGAGATACTATTCAAATTTACCTTTAATTTTACTGTAGATACGAGTGTTCTGTGAGGTAACTGATTTTGCGTAAAAAATCATCGTGGGCTATAGCCTCTTCCAATCGTTCCAGAACAGTCGGAAAATTAACCATTTGATATCTGTTCAGGTATGTTTGCGAAAGAACAAACAAGGAGTTCTTCGCTTCTGAGCTTCATGTCAAGTGATACAATAACTGAACTGTCGACCACATCTGACGCTACATCGTCCTGCAACCTCCCGCTGAAGAAATTAAAACTAGCAGTCAAAAATCCTGAAGGTACAAATGAAACTGAAAGCTCCTCGAAAAACTCTGAACAAAGCTTGCATCAATCGAAATCGGAAATGTTGTCTTCGTTGGTGAAAAACTCAGAAGATTTGCCTGAAAATTGTAGTTCAAAGCTAGTGGTTCTGAAACAATCTGTCTTGAATTTGGTCAAAAATGTCAACTCAACATTGAATTATTTAAAACAGTTTGAAGACCGATGCGGAAAAGACTAAAAAAATAAAATTAACTGAAAAATTGAATGTCTATGTTGAAACTTCCTAAAACTTTCTTGTAGTGATAATTGAGATTTGTTTTGTTTTTCTATTTTCCTAATCCTTGGTGCTAATTCGATGTGGAGAATTTTAACTGTCTCTATACATATAGCATACTGTCTCTTATAATCTGTATAAAGCTCTTAATTTTTTTCAGGATTAACTCCAAATTTTCTTCGGTGAATGGTAAATGCAATTACAATGAAGTTTTATGCGGTTGATGTTTTCAATACTTGTCATATATTTTCGGCTTTTTTCTAGTCTATTAGGTGAAATTTTATTGGGAAACTGGAAACTAAGTCGGAAACTGGAATGTTTTTTTTTCGGGGGGGGGGGGGGGATTGGTGTAGAATTGTGAAGAGAAGCGAGTCTATTGTCTATTTTCCAATATCAATTGGTTAGATGATTCATTAGAGCCTGGTTTTTCCACTGGCCAAAGTATCAAAGTTTGAAAATCCTGGAGATAAACTTGCGCATAAAGTTCTTTCCTATTTAACGATTGACTTGGCACAATTTTGTTCCTCAACTTTATTTTGAAATGTCTCGTGTTGAATCCTTACTTACTTATATCTATTTATCAATTTGTCGTGTAATAGAGATGTTGTTGAATTGAAAAGTATCCTACCTTTCTACTTCATTAATATAGGCTAGAGCCTGGAAAAAGTCTGTGACGGAATTAAATGGACCCTTGGTATTGGTCGGATAAATTTGAAATTTTGAACGTTATCGGCTTCTTGTTTCAAAAGTGGATTATATATTTCAGATTTTCCAGAGCAAAAAAGCATCTATTGACCAGTTTTTTCAAACTGGGTTGATTTTATCAAAAAAAGTGGCAATAATAAATTGTTCCAAAAATTCAGAGTTTTAAGGGCATCATAAAATATTTTTTTCGTGGAAATTCGAATGTTCAAAAAATGTTTTAATATTGTTTTTTTTTGTTTACTTGCATTCATTGAAATTTTTCCAACTGTCTGTTGGCTTTGTTTGTAAGAGTCAATGAACCTAGTGAAGACTTTATATAATTGTTTGAAATTAAACGAGCTTTAAAGGCATCTATTGTTTTCTTCGAAAGCTTCGATGTTTTCGAAAAAATTTCCCAACTGTATGTTTGCTATGTTATGTAGGATATTACTTTTCAGATTTGTAAATTGTGCACGGATAATTTTGATAGTTGATTTGTTCATGCAGAAAATTTGAAACGAAATAGAAATGAGGAGATCAACAATGGCTGAGATGGTCAAACAGCCGATATTCTGGGTGATGTTTGTTCCAGTTTTTGGACTCGTTTTTGGCATCCAGCGATACGGACTGGACAGGTTCGAACGTATCGATAGTACACCCGACGAAAGCAAAGCGAGGTTTAGGAAGTTCATCAAAGAAAGGGAGGCGATACTTTCGAAAAACAACTGAACTGAAGTTAATTTAATTTTTTTCTGAGATGAGCATTATTTTACTCAATATGCTCGAATATAAATTTTTTGATTATCATGTTGATTAAACAGAGTTATTTTCAACAAGGAAGGGTCTAGGATTTCCACAAGAAGGGAGACGCTCTTTTTGGTCAATTCAAAATTCTGTGCACTGTTAAATCACTATAAAACCATTAATCCAGCAAATTCTGTGACGAAAATTTGTGAAAACGTTGTCAACAATTTCGTTTTTAGACACTATTTGGAAAGCTTCTCTAAAAAAGTTGTGTACTCACCTCTGAAAAATGAATTGCATCGGAGCAAAAGAACAAGCGCTTTTAGAAAAATTTATGACTGGGCTGACAAAAATTGGTGTTGTGAAATTGCAACTTCGAATTGCTGAGGGAAATGGGTCTTCAAATAGAGCCAGGCTTGAATCTAGGATTTTTTCGAATGGTGGGATTTTAGGTCCACCCAATTGACTTTCCGGGAACTCCCAAAACACTGACAACATTTGACATGGCTTTCTAGGCACGCAATTTTTGAAAACACGATGTTTTTAGGAAAATTTTGAATGGTTTTGACAATGTTTTTTTTTGCGTCTTGATCTTCAGTTTATTGTTTTCTTCTTACATTGTTTCGACTTAGGTTTAATAGTCTTAGCGTATGAGTTTTAAAAAATTTCGGGCAAATGCATTGTTAGTAGATCGTGGAAGTCACAGCAAAATAACTTAAATATGGGTTAATTTTTGACGGGCACTTGTCAGTTTCATATATATTGTTATGTTTTAGAGTAATCAACATAGAGACAAGTCAGTTTTTTCTGTTTCCTTGCGTTCATAACTTTTTTCCAAGTGTTAGTTGGCTATGTTCTTTATCTTGTCCTTGGTTGTTATTTTGTTGTTTTTTCGTTAGTTAGAGGGTTGATATATATTTTGATTGGGTTAAAACCCCAATTTTAAACTAGAATCTAGAATATTTAAAGTTGTTAAAAATACAGAAAGAGTTATAGTTAAATTATTCAATAGTATCTTATAGATATATTATCTTATACTTAGTGTGTTGAAAAAATTTTTGTTTCCTTTATTTGAAATTCTTAGCTTAGATTTGATCTCAAACTTCGCAAGTTTTGTAACTAGTCTTTCAAATATTGAGCTGTTTCTTCTTCTCTCCCCCATCTGCAAATTTTTACCGGTGAAATTACTGTTCTTATTGTCCAATTGTAATGAAAGTTGACATGCGGACTAATTAGTTCATGATACGCATTTTTAGTTTTGACAGAAAACTTTGTAAAACCACTCATTGCAATATAAATTTAAGGCTTCAGTGAGGTGGGGGAAAAAGAGCCAAAATTTGCTATGTGTTTCAAATATTGCATTAAATTTCAAATACTGCACTAATGGTTCGAATAATACAATACTTTTTAAAATGCTGCACTTGTTTCAAACATTGCACTATTTTTTTTTTCAAATCAAATACGGAAAGATAACAAACGCAAATCATATCGGCTTAACAACGGCTTGCTAATTAATTTATTTGTAAAACTCAGTGGATCGAATTAAATTATCGACTTTTTTTTCTTGAAATTCCTTTTTTCAATACTGTTCATTTTCAAGGCATCTTACACTGGTGTGAAAAATAAGACGCTTTAAATCTTCAAAATCTCTCGATTTCAAGGATCATTTCAGACAACGTTTTTTTTTTACATAGAGTTGTAAACAAATTTTTACATAGCCCGAGAGCAAATGATCAGAGTTACTCTCTATGAAACTATCAACATTTGGTTCCTCAGACTTACCAATTTAATCCGGTTCAAATTGACATTAACTGAACTAGGTGTTGCATCGCAGCAAACTCTTTCTCGAACAAGCGGAGTAAAACAATTGTTCATGCGACGTGAATTATTCTCAGCCAGAAATTTTTAAAAAAACTGAGTTTTTTTCTGCATCCCCGGGTCGAGGTCTTTGACTCATGCCCAGACTTTGAAAGCCGAGTCGCATCCGAATCCAGACCAAAGTTGACTAGCCACACCGAAAGTTTGAGTCTGTAAAGTTCAGGTATGAATTGCAAAAATCTGGACATGAGTCACGCCGTGGGTCGCGAAAATCTGGACATGCCAAAATTTGGTCGATTAAGTCTAGACATGGGTCGCAAAAGTCTGTAAAACTGGTTTCCAGACTTTTGCGACCCATGTACAGACTTTCGCGAACAAATTTTGGTATTTCCAGTCTGTGTCGATCCATGGCGCGACTCATGTCCAGACTTTCGCGACTCATATTCAGACTTAGACTCAAACTCTCGTCGCGATTATGGAAATTGGGTCAGGATTAGGATGCGGCGCAATACATGGCGTGACTTTAATTTCAAACTTTACAGACTCAAACTCTCGGCTCGACTTTGCGGCTGTTTCTTACATTTTGACGTTGTGTGAAAAACTAATTGCAGATGAGGTTTTTTGTCAATTTCACGCCCGGATTAAATTGGCTAGTCTTTGAAAGCAAACTTTGATATTTTTGTAGAAAGTAGCTCTGATCTTTTTTATCTTGGTCTATGTAAAACTCCAGCTGAAAATCGATTTAATTGCTGTCAAACGGACATTGAAAACAGGCATCTAAATAGTACACACCTCAATTTGCGCTTCATTCCAATGGTGTAGGTTTTTGCTTAAAAACTATCCCTGCGAAGAGTGTTTTTACAATCATTGGGTTTCTTCTCAGTATGAGAGCAGCTCCATCTGATAAATCCTTGTGTCTTCGAATGAAAACAATCTACCGGGGATTTGTGAACGTGGTTGCGTGGTTGTTTTTTTTCGAAACCTTTGCAATAAGCTGGAGCACTATTTTTGAGAATAGAAACTCTGAAAGCCTCTAAAATTGCTCCTGATTTTAGGCTTTTCCCGAATATTCAAATCCAGTTTTCGCGATCGAAGTATAATCAAATCCAAGTTTGCAGCCAAAAGGTGTTACAGAAATCATTTCGAAATATAGACTCAATTTGTCTTCCTTATATTTATCGAATTTATTCAGCAAAATAGAATCAAATTATGTTTTTGGTTTGACGCAAGTGACAGGTGGTTTTCTTAGGTTTAGGCTTAGGCTTACGCCAATAACATTTCTTCATTTGTCCTTCAAACTTCTTTTTTGAAGACACTTCTCAATCTATTTGCCATTTATTCGATGCATTTGATACTGATGCATGGAACATTTGTGATCAATTGCTCGTTGCATTTGCCGTCTTCGAATTTGTTCTCATTCGGAACTTCGCGATCGAAATTTATTTTAAGTTTTCCGACTATCATATTCAGTTCTTTCTACATGTTCATATAATATACTGTAGCAACTGAATCTATGCTCGTTGGTAAATATAAAAGAGTCTCCTTTCGAATGAAGCTTAGATTACTTTTTCTAAAAATCGTAATCAAAACGTGTATTTCCTTCGTTTTCGGTGTAAATATCCGGGAAAAATCCTTGCCTGGACCACGTATTATTACTTAGAAAAGATTCACCATCAGCGTGCCTAGGGGCGATGGGGGCGGGTATATTTTTACGAGATCCATTTTCGGCTGACCAATCTCAAAATTTTTCTGAAGCGCTTCGGGTGCGAACATAACTAATTTAAAGGGGTAGCGCGCCAAAAAAAAACGCAAATTTTTGGGCAAAGTTTTCCAAGAAGCCCCAGAAAACGCTTTTTTGGGAAAGTTTTTTGAAACTTTGAGCTCGGAAAATGAAATCAGTCGACCCAAAAAAATTGGTTCACTATTTTTGTTTTTTGGAACAATAATGTTATAAGTATTGCTGACTTTCGTTCCCGAAGTACAAACGCTGCCACTTTTTACGTCACTGAGCTTCAAATTAGTGATGTAAACTGAGCTTCCAGCTATCGATGCAAACTTGTACCCGATGTCATGTTGATCAGGGAAACTGGATTAGAATATTCTAATTTGGATTTGGCTTTGCAAAATCAGGAGCAATTATAGAGGCTTTCAAAGATTTTGTTCTCAAAGAAAGTGCGCCAAAGTTATCGCTTAGGTTGCAAAAGTAGTCACCCACCACCGGTGCGTTGTTTTTTATTCGAGGACACAAGGATCAATTAGATGCTGCAGCTCTCAACCTGAGAAGAAACTCAACGATTGTAAAAACACTCATCGCAGCGATAACTTTTGAGCAAAAATATACAACAGTGAACAAATTAAGCGCGAATTCAGGTGTTTACT